TTCAGAAAATTAAAGCAAAAACTGTGGAAGTGAAATCCATCTGTGAATATTAAACACCAAAGATCCACCCTATTCTGACTCAGGAATTTTCCAAACTGTGTATGTCTCACTGGAGGCTGCTACATGCTTTTCTATTTCTTATCTTTTTCTCTAGACATTCTTCTCCCACCTGTTACCAGAAGCAGAATATTGAGCTAAATGGCCTTTAGATCTGAAGTTATGTGGCTGCTCTTACATGTCCACGTTACCCGAAATTTGACACATTTTAGGAAAGAAGCTCTGTATGAAGTAGTTTTATACTTAGGTCCGGTATTTTTTACTGTGGCTTTATTTAGCTCTAAAATTTGCCTCTGGCTCATCAGAGATAATTGCAGCCCTAGGCTGTGGTGTGTTTAATTCTTGCAGTGGAAATATTGCAGTATTGCCAGCAGTGGAAGTTAGGTCTAAAGTTGGGAGGCAAGTGCTCTGTTGTGTGGATGTCACAGGTAGGCAGGTCAGGCCCTCATCCAGTGATTTGTTGATTGATTGGGGTGGAGGAAGAAAGGGAAGAACAGGTTCAGTCAGTATCTAGGATCCCTTCTGAGTTCTACCTGAGATGATCAGTTGAGAATGTTTATGGAGGCTTCTGTGCAGTGGATGGTGATCTAAGACCACACACTTAGTGCCTGTGCAAGGGGCTGGCAATCTCTAGGATGGAGAAACCCAGATGGTTGGGAGGTTGTGGCCTTTCTAGATGGAAATTTGGACTGGTTAAGCAGACTCGCTCCAGTTTCCACCTTGACCACTGCTTTGCACGCTCAGTTGCTCACATTATAGCACAATAGTCGTGGGGTAAGTTCAGGGCTTCCTCTCACTGCGTGGCTGTGCTGCTGTTAGGATGGAACCAGCTTCCCAGCTTTTCCTCTGCAGGAATCTTTGCATTTACATGTCGCAGAAAAAACTCCTGTGAATTTAATTAATCACAGTTTACAGGGTAATAACCCTTGGAATATTTTTATGGGTAAATAATGTGTATCCCCTGCTGGAATGGGGTTCTGCAGGTTCCAACATTCAATTATTTCATAATCTACTTCCCTTTAAATGATCAGAGAGTGAGACCAGAGGAAACTAACAGGAGTGGGAATAATTAGCAGCTGCCTTGTGTTTGGGACATGGATGTACTGTCTTAATACTCATTAAAAAGCCCTTCAGTTCAGGAGAATGCAGAGGTATTTTTGGTGCTGCCAAGCAAGTGCCACAGCATTTCTGGTAGGCACTGTGGTGCCATGCATAGGGACATGGCTAGTTCTTACTCGGGAGGAGCCTTATTCCCAGAGGAGCTCTATGCAAATGAGGCTGCTCAGCCCCTGGTACCTGCCCGAGCCCAGCCCCTTTCCGCGCTGCTTGTGTGCTGTGAGCTGCGTGGGAGGGGGCTGTGAATGCCGGCTGGCAAGACTCTTCAGTCTCTTCTTTCAGGCAGGCTCAGAGCAGCTTCAGACCGTCCCAAATCTATCAGTTTCTTGTGAGACACTGAGAAGTGTCGTTGTCACCAGCGCCTCTGACTGAAGGTGAGCAGGCTTGCCCAGAGCTGCGCGATGTGTTTGCAGCAGAGTGGAGTCAGGCAGAGTCAGGACCTCGAGTCTGCTGCTGGGAGGGACCAGCACCGTGCTCTGCTGCAGCTGGGCAGGCCTTTCTGCTGAACAGTGATCCAGAGCCATCCTGCCAGCACAGCAGGCCTGGTTGATGGCCCCTGGAGAGGTGACATGCCAGCCTGGCTGGCAGCCTCACAATCACAGCACATGGGGGGAGAGCTACACTCAAGTGAGTGGTGTCTTGGTGGGAAGTGCTTGCTCAGGAGCCCACTCCTGTTCCTGCACTGTGATTATCCTAAGCACCAGTGTATTTTTTCAGTTTATGTTTTCTCTTTCTTCCTTGCCTTTGCTACTTTTGCTTTTATTTAATGTTGTATTCTTTGCTGTAATTACTACTTTAATCTGTAATGTTGACGCCTGCCCGCCTGCCCCAGCTTCTGGCCACCTTTGAGGCCAGTGCTGGTAACAAGTCAGGATGCCTCTCAACTGAAAGGTTCCTGCTGAAACAACTCCCTAAATAAATAAAAGGCAAATTGAATATTGGAAAAGAACTTTAAATAACCTCTGAATTCCTGGAGGACTACATCTTACATCTCTGTTAGGGACAAATGGGTTCAACATAAGTAATGATCCTCTGGAATGACAAATAAACATCATTCACCAGCCTCTGTGGGTTGGAATGAGAATAGACTTTGGTGATAAATAAAAGCAAAGTGCAAAGATGTCCCTGGGTGGCAGAGGAGAGCAAAGGAATTAAATATCATTGGACTATAAACACACAATCTCTGAAATGCTCCACAGCTTGCCTCCAGATTGCTGCTTTGGATATGATGGGTCTAACTTTTTCCTCTTGTGCCATGGGAAGAAGCTAAAGACCCTTTACTGCAACAGCATTCCTGGCAGACCATGACCTTCCCAGATGGAGTAGCATCTTTCAAATGCAGCCTCATTGTGCTGAATTCTAGCTCTTTAATGAAATGTAACTAGTTGAAATTCTCTCAGTTACTTTCTGTTTTTTCCCCGTACTAATGTAATGCTAAAACCTTCCTTGTTCCCACTTCAGGTGATCCACTGATGTTTGTATTTTGATTGCTATCTCCCCGTTGTTTGATAATTACCCCTTTTCCACACCTGCTTCAGGAGTTTATGACTGGACAAGCCCCTTTTGGTTCTTGGAAGCATATTCCTGTCACTGGATGGACCAGCTGCTTTGTCTCTAGATGCTTTGCTTCCTGAGCTACAAAGTTCTTTGTCTCAATAGGACAGTGCCAGTGTTTTGAGTTTGTGACTGTGATCGAGCTGGGAGCTCACTGTGGTCTGGGTGCGATGGCTACGCCCTTGGGGAGTCCCTGTGCGTGTCCTGTCCACCGCATTAGGATGTGAAGGAAGGAGTATGGGTTTGTTATCCTTAATCTCCGTCCAGCTGTTTACTCCCCCAGATGTACGCAGTGGGTGTAGCTGCTGCCACTGCTGCCCTGCTCTTGTGTCTCCCTTTGCATCTCCTGAGCCTGCGTTTGTCATGAAAGATAGGCTGATTCTTGCTCCTTGAGCATCAGCTGAAGACGAGTTCTCTTTGTGTCGTAGAAAAGGCCCCTCCTTTTGAGAAGCTCTTTCTCTTTACTAAAATGGGGTTCTCGATGCGCCTGTTTGTGCAAAGCTGCCCGTCATTCCCCGCGCAGGCTGTGCTCGGCTCCTGAGGAGGGCAGCATAGGTTAGCTGATGCTCCGAGCCCAGAGTTCTGCTTTACATTCCAGCCATATCTAAGGCAGAGCTAGTGAAGTGTAAAAGAGCACTGAAGGAATTGGGAGTAAAACTCTTGGCTCTGTGATGAGTGGAGTAATCCCTACTCCTATTCCAACAGGAGAATTTGCCTCTCGGCAGCAGTTGTGCTGCCTGCTGCAGGCTGACACCAGTGCCTGGTACTGGGGGACCTGCCACTGCCCAGGGGAGAGCGCAGACACAGAAGAGCAGGTGAAGGAAACCCCAGCACTCCCCTCCCTTTAAAAGACTGACCCTACATATTGGATGGACTTGGTGACTCCAGCAGTGTGAGCAGGTTGTTAGTACCTGTTGCTGAACTTGGCTCTGTGGAATGTGCACAAGGTAACAGAATGAAAACACAGATCCCTTACACCAAGAAGCTTCCACAGTGGTGGGGTATGACGTACATTTTTCACTAAGAGGAAGACACTGGGGAACCTAAAGAAGGGATTCTTTCAGTTCGAATCCTGGGACTGCAGAGCCTGACTGTCTTGCGGTGATGAATGAACAGCTTTTTCTTCAAAGGAGAAAACAGGATGGGCTTAAGCACACAAGAAGCCTGGAAAATTGCATAGAAGTAATTGTGACATCCAAATTAATACCAGATGAACTAATCAGGATTAATGTTAGTAGGAGTAATGCCACTGGTTATCGCAATGATTATAGACTATTACAATAATGAGTTTTCTGGGGAGGATGATGACAGGTGATTTATATACTGTACAGGTGTTTCTTCTGTGTATCCGCATGATAAGCAACTGTGGTACTTTGCTGCAAGAAGTTGGGACTGCTCATTATTCCTGAAGTTGTCCAGAATGTGACTCTCTTCTAAGTAGTTAATTGGCCAAAAAGATCCTGGACAGAAAAGGAGGGAGGACTGAGTAAACAAAAAGGGTGCTGGTGTCTCATTCCTGACCTGCTTGGGGGGAGCTGCTGGGAACCTGGCCCTGAGATGTCTTCTGGCCTCTCTGGGAAAAATATGGAGAAGTCTGTCTGGAGTTATGACGCAGGGGCAGTTTTACAAGCCCCACTCAGGCGCAGTAAGGTGATGAAGGTCTCACTGTTGCTCTTTCACAAGCTCTACAGGAATCAGCTGTTGTTTTCTACTCTGATTTTCAGAAGAAATACATCCAGTGAGATATCTGGTGGTACAGACAATGTGTATGTGTATGTGTACAGTGTTTGGCTACAGAAAGCTGTGGTCTAACAGTGCTAGGAGTCAGTGCATGTGTAATAATGATTACACAGCAAAATGAAAAGCCTCAGGTAGTAACAAAAGGTAACTGCAGTTTTCCATGCATGGCATTTCATCCTTCTTGATTTTCTCTGTGACTTTGCGGAACGCTGGCTGTAGTTGTTGCTGCCTAGGATGCACAATCACTTCTCCAGAGATTTTCCACCATATCTCTAGGTTGGCAGGATAAAAGCAATTGTGGTGATCTTATGCAGAGCCTATTCTACCAATATGTTGTCAAAGCGTTCAGAAGAAGTTTCTTTTTCTCTGGAACTGAAATCAAGGGCAGGGAAGCTGCCTAGTAACTTGTTGAGGATGACGAAATGATGCAGCATTTGAAGCTCTCGTTGTAGATATTGAGCTCTTTCATTGATTTGTTGACAGAGTGACCAGGGCAGCAGCAGCAGCAATCTTTTCTCTCCTCTCTCCTTTAGAGTTCAGGGTTACCTGGATTGTTTCCAGAGTCCCATTTTGGAGACTTCAGAAGCTGTGTGGGTACCTACATCCCATCTGTAGCCTCGTGAGTTAAATACACAACTTTCTACCTTTGATGCCCATCTTGGAGAAGGTAACACTATATCACCATTATTCTCAGTTTTATAATCACTTTTAAAAATTAAGTCAAATGTTTAGTAATAAAAATAATGATATTCAATGTAAGCCTGAAAAGAATGAAAATAATTTCAGATCGTTTTCAACACTGAGTTTTCATTTGTGGGTATTTCATCTGCTTCCCCCTTGGCAAGGCTTATTCATTTGTTCCTTAAGACTGTCCAAGCAGTGGACAGTGATTGTCTTAGCTATGTATAATTGGCTTGTGGCCCCAGAGAGACTCTTCCCTAACTGCTGATGCTCTCACATGCCCTTGATCCCTGTTCCTTGTATCCGCCCTTGCTGGCCTTCTACTGTTCTTTTTTTCAGCTCATCACTCTTTGTCTTCTGTCTCTTGATCGTGCCATGTAAAGCACTGTTTGTATGTAATAAAGTCAGTGAAATTTCTACTCAGACATGCCATACCAGACCAACCAATGGAGCCTGAGCAAGGCAGAGATGGCCTATAATTAGCATCTTTTATGGAAGCGCAGAAAGTGCAGTGGTCTCACTGCACAGCAGCACAAGAACAGGCCCTGGCTGGACAGGCTGGTCCCTTGGCTTGCAGGAGCCACAGCTTTGTTGGTGGCACATCTCTCTCTATAGGAAGGGGCATGGTGACTGTGTAAGCTCTGTGTCAGATGGTGTGTAAGCTGGACTGTGCTGCAGGGTGCTCTCAGGTGTCCCTGGGAACAGGCTGAGCTTAGCCACTTAAGCCTTCCACCTTTCATAATCAAACAAATGTTGTCCTATATGCTCCAGGCAGACTATTCCCAGTGCCTTCAGACCCATGTGACTTTTTAGGCTGAAGACCTTAGTCTGTTATCTGTCGTTATTTTCTATTAAGTTTTTCCATAGTTACAGCATTAAGCTGATTAAAGGAAATATTGATTTTACTCTGATACAGAAGCTTTGAAAATGTATTAACCATTAATGGTCATGTGCAATTGAAACAACTTTTTTGCTACTAGTTAGATGTTCACAGGTGTTCGTTTGACTATCCAGAAATGGTTGTCAGTAGCATAAATAGACAGTTAACTAAATACATTAGTGCAGTTTGCTTTGGTGTAATTAGAGAGGTAATTGTAAAGTACATTTTAGTAAGCTGAAAGTGTTAATACATGCCCACGTATTTGCAGCCCTTACTGAAAACAGTTAACAATCTATCCAGACCCAGATTTCATGACAAAGCAGAAGAAAGCTCCAGGTACTTCCTGGCTTGCTTAGTCAGGTTTGGAAACCATGGTTTGAATGAATACTGGGCTTCAGAATGCCTGTGACACAGGGCACAAATAAAATTACTCAGAGCCTGAGGTGCAGGAGTTGCCTGAAACATGCCACATGGTTGCGTTCAGGGTCAAACTTCAAGAGCAGATTGTCAGAATGTGGCATCTGGAGACCCAGTGCTCAATTTCCCAGAGCTGTTCTCCATTCAGAGACTAGCACACACATCACATCACCCTCCTGCTCTTGGAGCCCTTGCCCATAGCACAGTCAGTGCCTCACTGTGGAATGTCATCGTACATTCTTTCAGACATTTACCAACAGGGAATTTCCAGTCTTGGTGTGGACTGGTTGCCTTCCTCTTCTGCTAGCTGTAGACTTACGATGAGACATTCACATTTTAAATATGTTGCAATGACATCAATAGTAATAATTATTGCATGCATCAAAGCTTTGGAGATTAGCCATGGATCATGCACCTAAATGGCAAATGGTTATAATAGCTCCGTATGTGGAACATCAAAGTCTGAGGAAACATTGCTCTGTTATAAAAAATACATCAGAATGATCATTCCACTCCAACTAAAGTGCAGAACTGTAGACGTGTATGGAACAAATGCAACAGATTTCATACTCATTTGGGTGTTTCAAGTATGGGAAAAATTGATTCCACAGCTCCAATTACCAATCCACATCAAGTGAAGACTGTATTGAAATTATGAGATTTTGAACAATATTAGGTTTAAGTTGACTCCTCCTTGTGAAAATGTATTTGTAATTAGGGCCTAGAAAAACAAGACGTAGTATCTGGGGTTTTAATTTTTTATATGCTCCCTGAGAGAGAGAGAGAAGTGACTGAGATTGGATAAAATTCTTAAACCCATGATGTTTCAAGTATCCTTTTGCTGAATTGAAATGGGTTTCTCATAGATTAAAGGAACTGCACTGTTGTTTTCTTTGCTAGGGGAAAAATATTCCAAACAGAGCGAAGCACAGACTCTCTATGCTGAGCTGGGGGACAGCTGCTGAAATAAAAAAATGCAGAACAGTCACTAGAACAACAGAACCTCTGAACTCAGCAACTGAAATTCCCAATTACAGATGTGCTGCTGTTTCTCCTGCCTCATCACAGCTGTTTTGCTTGATCACTCCCCCAGCCCCAGTGGGACAAGCAGTGTGAGGACGTAATGCCATGTGTGCTCCCACAGCCAAATCAAAGGCCCAGCTAAGCCTGTGTCTCAGCTATGAATCTGGAGGAAATCAGAGATCCTCATTAAAGTTTCAGAGAAACCTAACTGGTATGAGGACAGCATTCAAAAATGTATTTGGGGGAAAACAAATATTGTTTTAACTCTGTTAATAATTGATGTGTTGCCAGCAGAGATCCTCCTAGCATTAAGGGAATTGAAAATTAAAGGCACAAAGACACTACTTTAAGGAAATATCTTGATAAATAATTAATATGGCATAGGCCTACTGGAATATAAAGACTGTAGGTTTTAGCTTGTCATATCAAACCTGTGCTTTCTAATACCACAGTTTCTTCCAGAATGAGAGCATGGTCATCTTTGGTTTATACCAACAAAAGCTTGAGTTGTTTTTGTTGCTTAACTGGAATAATTCACTGGCTTCTGTCAGTGGCTTATGCTGAGCCCTTGGATCCTAAGCAGCACATACTCAAAGGGCATGGCTTTCTTAAATCAAGATGAACAACAAATTGCTGATTATTTAGAAAACAGAAGAGACTATACCTGTTTCAGGAAAACTACTGTTTTTCAGGGTTGAACTAGATCAGAATAAGAAAAACTACTGGAAGAAGAAACTGGCAATTCCTGTTTAGCAATGCCATTTATAAATAGCTGGGAGAGATGCTTTGGGATTTGTAACCCCCAGGAACAGCTACTGCTTTAGTTTGTGTGTCACTAGAGAAATGAATTTTCAATGTGAGGCCAATCTTGGGGACCAAACTGGAAAACCCAGTGGCTGGCACTTCCCTTATGCATTCTACTTCATGGGGATCTTAAGGATAGGAAACAGTGCAGCCCAGCATTCCACAGAATACAAGCCTATCAGTAGGACCAAAGAAAGGCTGGACGCAGACTATGCTGAGGGAAGTAAATGCGGAATTTCTGCATTTCCTTCCAAAGCAGCTCTAGCACTGCTGTGAGCAGAGCCTGCAGGAGCAGCGTTCAGAGACATGGTGAAGGGTTTGCCTGGTGGACAGAACCTGACAGGGAGGAACATTGCAAAGGAGAATACTGAGCACCATGTTAACTAACAGAGCTGCTGCCGCCTCTGAAAGCCTCTGTCTTGCTGAAGGGCCTGTGGGCTCTTTAAACTTCCAATTTATTCCAGTCCACTCCTATCCTTTAGGTTGTTATAATGAAGCAGCTAGTAAGTCAGGCATAATTTCTGGTAGGCTTTTGAATTTAAGAAACTGTGCAAGAGCATCCAGAGAACTATATTTATCATTTAATTCCTTTAATTAAAGCAAAAGTGAATGCTGTTTCTTTATTAGAAGAACTTTAGTTCACTAATGCAGGTTTGTTGAGATTGATGGAATTCATAAACACCCTTTATTTACTACAGCAAAGTTAATAATTAAGAAGAAGAGAGAATATACATGAATACATGAATGCTGTTGTAAAAATAATTCCTGCCTTAGTTCTGAGGAAAAAGCTCACGTAAATTGGTGATTGAGAACATGAGGGAGTTCCACTAGAACTAAAAAGGGGAGGTTTTTTGCATTCTTTATAAGATAAATGTGGTGGTAAGAAACTGGCAAGTGCAAGTTACCCAGACTGCAGCTGAGTGTGTTCTGTCTGGGGTGGGTGTCCCTTTTGCCATTCCCGGTGCACCGACGGCACCCACAGCATCTACCCCGTACCCAGAGGGAGCTCGCCTTCCTGCTCACTGCCACGGCCACCAGCAGCACTCAGGCCCTCGCTGAAACTGGAGTGTAAAGCTCGTGGACTGGCAGTGCTGGGAGGGTTGGGCCTGACATGCCTGAGGAGGGCTGTGGAAAATTGCCTCTTGCCCACAGCGATTCCCCTGAAGGAGAATCCATTGGTGTAAGTATGGTTGGTTGCTCTGGCTGCTGGGAGGGTGGGTGCAAGTGCTGTGCAGGGACTGCTCCTGGGCAGTCAGCGTGAGTCCCATGAAGGCCAGAATGGCTGTCCTGCAGGGAACGGATGCCTGCAAGGCTGCATCTTCCCACAGCCATCCTCCCATCCTACTGCAGCCGCTCCTCGTTTTTTCGATGAGTCCTTGCCTGTGGCTCTCTGTCTCTCTGCTGCCACAGCTGCCCTGCTCTGCCCTGCCTTCCTTGTACTATCCCTGCCCTGCCTGCTGCCTGCCCCACCTCCTGCCATTGCTTCTGCTGCATCTTTCTCTCCTGATGTAGGGAGAGCATTTCCCATCCCGCTGCTGGCTGGTGGGGACGAGTGTCCCTGCCTGCCAAACAGCCCTATTGTTAGTTAAAGATGCTGACTCTGGGAGTCCCATCCTCATCAGGCAAAGCTGAGAGTCTGTCTGATTTAACAAGGCAGGGAAACAAGCCAGTCAGAATTATCTCAATCTGAAGCATATTCTAGAAGTGATTAGCTGCCTAAACTTACTCTGTAATTATCTGTGCTGAGTGGTTTCTGCACATCATTGCCCATTTTTCTGAGTGTTTTTATTTAAGTTGATAATGGAAAATGAATAAAGCCTTAGTTGCACTCTGATTTTGACACTTGTGCCAGAAGATATCTGAAGATGAATATTTCTGTGTTCACAACAGTTAGATTAATATTTAATTTTTTGGCATCCAGCAAGCTGATTAGTTTTCGTCTGATATGGCTCCACTTTGTAATTACAGGAACCGGCTCCTCCTGGGGAGGACGGTGCCTGGGGTAAGAAGCTCAGAGACCATAATGACATCACTGCAACCATGATTTCAACAGGCTCATGCACTGCGAGGTTATTGTGATCTGAAATCTCTGCTCCTGGAAAGAGGTACAGGTATGTGTGACCTGCTCCATATCATCTGAAGACAGACAAGATCTGCCCTTAAGCTGAAGGGAATAATGGCCAGTCTCTTCGCGAACGAAGAACCGGGGAAGGTTTTTACACCTTCCAGCCTGCGCATTGGATTTTTTAGGTGAGACACAGTGTGCGCGGAACTGAGCCCACCCTTTAATCCTGAGGTTCATCTGCCGGGGCCAAGCGAGCTTGGACGGTGGCAGCGAGGTCCTCAGGACGTAGATGGATTGCCTTACAGGGCTTACAAGCCTTC